GAAGATGTTCTGTAAGTCTAAGGGTAGAAAAGAAATAGTTTTTGCCAAAGATATCCACATTAGATGGAATAGTACATACAAATTGATTCACCAGATTCTAAAATATAAAGAAGAACTTGCTGAATTTTTTAGAGATGAACTTCGTATAATCATTGATCCTTTTGAATTTGTTATTATTGAAAAATTGAATGCCGTATTAGAAGTTTTTAATAACGAAACTCTTACTTTTTCTCATGTTTACCAACCAACTACAAATACATTTTTAAAAGAGTGCGTTACAATCGCAACATGTTTTCGTGAAAGTAAGGCTGATCCAGATTTGTACCCATATGTCTCTCCTATGATACAAAAATGGTGTGCTTATTATTTGTACATTCCTGATATTTATAAAATAGGTATTATTTGTGATCCACGCTTTAAGATTGAAAATTATAAAATTTTAATTGAGTATTACTACAGTTGTTTTTTAGATGAAAATAGTTATTACTACAGTTATTTAGTAGAATGGAAAAAAGAAAGAGATAATGCTGTAACTTTTTTTGAGAATTTGTTTGAGGAATATCAGGGGTTATACGGCACTGTACAAGAAGAAGCAGCACCACCTCCGCCTCCGAAATCAAAAAAAGGTTTTGCCGGAATAGTCGGTGGTCTTCTTGCAAAGAAAGGGAAGCGTGCTCATTCTTCGACGAGTACAAGTGGTACAACAGTAAGCTCGCACAACGAGCTTGCTATGTACCAGGGTGTGCCATGCGATTACGACGACGACGACGTGGATTTTGATGTGCTCGGATGGTGGAAGCGGAACGAACACATGTTCCCATGTCTCGGCATGCTAGCAAGACAAATGTTATCCGTTCCGGTATCAACCGTAGCAGTTGAACGAGAATTCAGTGCTAGCGGCAACATTCTAACCGACTTTCGAAGCTGTCTTAGCGCTGAATCTCTTGAAACACTGGTTTGCAACCAAGATTGGCTCTTGGCAAGACGTCGAGCTCAAGAGTCATCGTACCTACTCGAATCGGAGCATTACATGAATGCAACAACAGATGGAAGTCCGAGTTCTGAAGAATAAGTTACAATTTTTTTATGTTAATGTAGAATTGTAGATATGTAATTAGTTTTTTTAGGTGAGCGATATATAAGCTCCTTCGAGGGTTTCTTTACCTCGTCGCTTTTTTTGAACCGTCAGGATATTAAATGTGGTTGTTCTTCAGTTAGTGTATTATTCATTTAAAATGTTTAAATAACAACTACATTTTTAGATTTTTTATTTCATTCTTTCCTTAAACAATTGCAAATTTACAATTTTATACTTTAAAAATTTTAAAAAAAGCAAAAAAAAAAATAAAAATAGGAGGGGGGCCGAAACCGGCCGGTCCGGTACCGGAACCGGTACCGGCCGGCACGGTGACGGTTCCGGTGACATGGGGTGGCGGTACCGGAACCGGAACCGTACCGTGTCCACCCCTAATGTTAACTAGTTAGACTATTAAATTAACTAATTAATTTTGCTAGTGACAAATTATGTCACAACTACTCCATCAATTAAACATATTCCTAGGCATTATTAGTGTGCTAATGTTGGGTAACTAAATTGTTTTTCATATTCATAGACGAATGGACAAAAAAATACTTCAGATATTACTTAACAAATTGGCCAGATAAATTAATTAGGATATTATTATAACTATTACTCTCCGTCCTAAAACGTTTTTTTCCGTTTCTGTTTACTTAGTTTAACCGACTTTATTTTTAATTCAATTTATTAGATTGTATAAAATATATATATTTAAGAAACTACATCAAAAGTTTTAAAAAACAAAATGTGACAAGATTATATTTTTTGTCAAATAACTAATGAAAATAAGTAAAGAAAATGATTAAAATTTGACCGAGTGAATAATAACTAGGAAGAACGTTTTAGACGGAGAGAGCAGCAACCTAGTATTTTAATTAATTAATTTAATTTTCTAAAATAATTATTTTTCTTACATACCCACTGCCTTACTTCAATTTATTATATCCCTAAAATATTTGGTCTAACATGACATACCATTAACTTTATAAATTGAACAGTGGAACATTAATATATTAAAATATTTCAAAAAACTTATAACTTTCAAGAAAGCTGAATTAAAATAAAATAGAGCCTGGAATTCAAAAATATAAAAATTAAAGAGGATATTTTTGCCCAAAGGGCCGAAAATACTGGAGGAATCTCAAACATTTGACACCAAACTCGGCTGTACACGTGTCGCGATCTCAGCTCGGGACGCCGAGTGAATGCCGAGTTCGGTCTATATTTTCGCCGTCTCATTCACGGACATCATCTTCAAGAACTTGCAGAGCCAGAGCTCAGAGAAGAGAAGAGAAGAAAGAAGCATGGACATGGCGGCGGACATCGATTTTGTCCGATTTAAGGTAAGCACGGAACAGGTTTCGGTGTCTGCTCTTTGGGTGTTCGACGTTTTGTCCGTGTGAGTGGATTCCCAGTTTCCCATGCGAGTTCTTTGGGCCTTCTCAGTTTTGTCCTATGTTGAGTTTTATCCACACTAGGCATGTTTGGGAATAGCATTAGATTGGAAATAGCATTAGAGATTACCGTTAGCGTTTTGAAAATGCTATCTACGCACTGCTTTTAGTGTTAGCATTTTCAAAGTAATCTGCACCGTTAAAATTTTAGAGGAATTTACTTAAATAACACTAAAACATAATGACTTTTACTAAATAGCATCATATGTGTTTTTTTCCCAATGTAGCACTTTTAGTCATTATTCAAGTAAATATTCGTCATCACTGTACATTATTCCTCCTTCTGGACATTATTAATACTCTGTTTGGTTTAAGGAATTTGAAATGGAAAAGATAAGAAAATGGGATGGAAGATATTTTTTCATGTTTGGATAGAGAGGAAAAGAAAAGAAAAGTAGAAGGAAAATGAAATGAGAAGACAAAATATATTAAGAGGAGGGAAAATCAAATTCCTTCCATTTTGGTGAGGAAAATGAGAGAAAATCATTTTCTTTTCTTTTCCTTTCAAAGTCCTTGAACCAAACATTGTGTATGTGTTATTTATGGAATAAAACCGTTTAAGTGCTATTTAGAAAAATATTTCAAAATTTTATCCAAAACAGCTCCCAAAGAGGCCCACTATTAAATACCTAGACTAGTTCTTACCAGTACTTGGTTGGAAATCTTGTGGCTAGTTCTTGCCACTTCTTCTTCTTCTTCCTATACTTTCCTTTCCCCTACCTCTTCACTTGGACAGTTGGACCTCTGTAATTCTCCACAAGTGGGTTTTTTTTTAATATTAAATTGGCAATCTTTAATCTGCAGGGGTTACAGGAGAGAGCTAGAAATGATGTGCTTCCAAAACTTGACCATGAGGATGTCGGCACGGAACCAGAAAATGATGGAAAAGTTAAAGACGACGATGATGACGTGTGGAATGTTGAGGAAGAAACGAGGAGGGAGGGTGTAGGCTTCGGAGCTCGCAAGAGCATGAAGAAACGCCGCATCTCCCATGGTTTCCATTTGGTAGAAGGGAAGATGGATCATGGCATGGAAGATTACCTAGTCGCGGAAAATAGAAGAATGAATGGTCATGACCTCGGTTTATATGCAATTTTCGATGGTCATTCGGGGCACAAAGTTGCCGAATACTTGCGCACTCATCTCTTCGATAATATATTGAAAGAGGTACCAGTATTATATACTCCCTCCGTCCCAAAATGCCTAAAATTTACCACATTTCTCATTTATTGTAGGTAGAAGTTGTTTTGAAAGTTGTTTTTTGCATTTGAGGTGGGATAGAAGTGTTTTATGGGATGCGCAAAAAATGAAACAGGAAGATCTTTTTGGGAAGGAGGGAGTAGTTAGTATTGATTAAGGCTCTGAAGTTTATGCAATATAATATATCTCTTTCTTTTTTGTTGTTGGGTCCTATGAACAGCACGAGTTCTGGGAAAATCCCGTTTCCGCCATTAAACAAGCATACAAAGTCACGGATGATTACATTTTAGAGAACGTGGTCGGTGCCCGGGGTGGCTCCACGGCATTGACTGCAATACTAGTCGATCAGAGGCAACTTGTTGTGGCAAATGTAGGGGACTCCCGGGCAATTCTCTCCAGGAACGGGAAGGCGAAGCAGATCACAGTCGACCATGATCCACTGAAAAGGAAGGAGAAAAAAATGGTTGAGAGGAAAGGAGGATTTGTTGCAAAAAAGCCCAATACTCGTATAGAATCCTAGTGAATGTTCTCCATTTAAGCTTCTTCGTTTTCCTAGCATTTTCATGTTATTTATAAACTTGAACTTTCTAAAAGAGTAAATTTCATAAATGGTCCTTTATAACGACAGAGCGTTTTACATATTTAGTTCTAATTCTAAGAAATTACATTCGTGGGCCTCTATAATCGAGAACCATTCCATAATCAGTCCTTTGACCCTACCCAAATATTGTTTTCCACATATAGTCCTCAAAGGACTAACCGAGTGATTATAGAATACTGTACTTATCAAACATTAAAGACCACGAATCTTATTTCTTAGAACCGAAAACTATATATGGAAAACAGCATGTTATTAGGAACCATTTGTGGAATTTATTCTTTCTGAAAAATGTCCAAGCGTTTGCCCTCGACAAGTCGGGTCTCCCTCAAGAAAGATCCTTTTGTTAGCACTGAAGGGAAATTATATACGTACCCGTATACTATTGACTTGATGTTAATGAAATGGGCAGGGAACGTTCCGCGTGTGGACGGGCAGTTAGCAATGACGAGGGCATTCGGAGACGCACAACTGAAAGAGCACATCACTGTGGAACCTGATGTCGTAATTGAGAGGATTGGCAAAGAAACTCAGTTCATAGTTCTAGCCAGTGATGGCTTATGGAAGGTATCATCATTCAATTTAGACACTAGTATTAATAATTTGATCTTGATTTCCCTTCTTATGGCTTGTGAACATAGATTCTTGGGGAACATTTTTGTGGGATTTAATTCTTAATTCCTTTTTTAAGTACCCAAGATGAAAACAAGAACTATATATTGGGTCACAATTCTCACAAATATTTTGAACTAAGTTGGGTTTTTGTGGTGGTTGGTTGATACACTTGATAGTTTAAAAAATGAAAAAAATAAGCTTATTTCGAATGTTTTGAAACCCGGATCGGACCGGCCGGTTGAACTGCGGCCCGGACACTTGTCCAATCCACTCCTTTTATGAAACCCACAAAGAATTGTCAAACATGTTGAACCGGGGCTTCTGCCCGGCCGGTTCACGGGTCAAAGGTAAGTTTTATGTTTTCTTTTCTAAAAGTTTAGTTCTTATAGGGTTTGAAAACCTTGACCCTAAATTAAAGGCACCGTAGCACATCCAACTGCCCTACTAGGGAGGGTTGTCTATAGAACTTTCCGATAGATTCATTGTGATGTACTTTTGTAGAAACTTTTCGAACAAGATAGGTACATTTGTCTTAATTTTTTAAAAAAGATATATTTATGTTAGGTACTTATTTAAAAAAAATAAAGAAATGAACACTATTTTCTTATTTCAGTAAACTAAAAAGTCTAAAATATTACTCCCTTGGTCCCACTCTTTTTGTCCACTTTCATTTTTACACACCATCCAATGCACTTCTTTAATCCATTTTATCTTGTAATTTGTATATTAAAAAATTATAAAAATTATATATTAATAATCTATATGTTAAGACAAATCAAACAAGATCACACATGATTATTTTTAGACTTACACATTGAGAGAATTTGACGAGTCAAAGTGCTTAGATGAACAGTTCCAAAAGTCAAAACTGGACAAAAAGAGTGGGACGGAGATAGTAGTCAAAGTAATATAAATTATAAATGGAAAAGTGTGAAAGAGTACTACGGAGTATGTAAATAATGATATTAAAAACAAGGTGGAGAAGAAAAAAATACAAATTTAAATACTTCTATAAATATATAAAAAAATATTTTTATTATAGTTATAGTTGACCGGGTTGTTGACTCGTTCAACCCAGTCTAAACGGTTAACCCTTGACTCAATCGCTCGTCCGCATCAACGGCCGGTCCGGTTTTCAAAACATTGCTTATTTCGTTTACCTTAGAAATTATTTTCCAACCCTCAAACACCAGAAAATAGATAAAGACTTCGAGAAGTCATTTCCCCCTTAAAATGAACCCAATAGGAAAACTAGAACTATATATTGGGTCACATATTCTGTAGGCCAAAACCTTTTTTGTTCTTTTTTAGTACCGCTGACTCTTATAATATAGTATTTGTTTATACATATGCTCGTAATATGTTGAAGCGCATAGAGAGTCATCGCCCCGCTGGGATTCAAGTCTGGGTGAACTTCCCGTCTTGAATCCTCGGGGTGGTTCTCCTACCACTCACGGCAAGGGGAAGCTCGCGGGCCAAGAGCTTTCGTGGCTTGGTGCTATGCCCATAACTAAGATTGGGAATGGTGGGTGATTTCTGTGCAGGTTATGTCAAACAAAGGGGTAGTTGATTGCGTCCGAGAATTCAACAACGGCGAAGATGGAGCTCGGGGGCTGATTGACACCGCGCTTTCACGGGGTAGCAAAGACGACATTTCTTGCGTCGTGGTGAAGCTCGAGTGATCTTAGTTGTAGTTTGTAACCTAATAGTACTCTGGAGTGATCTTTGCTCCTTTCATATATGTAAATCTATGTTTAAGTTTGTTTTGTTTGGTAATTGTAATTTTGAAATAAATGAAAAGGACTCACATCAGCACTTCCAAAAGTACTTCCAGAATAGTGTGATTTTACATTATTACTCTCAACTAAGTTTCAGTTACTTTCAAAAATGTCATTAAAAGTTTCTACTTCCCTTGGTAAGAGAAAAATGAAAAATGCTTGGGCCTAGGGGTATGCTAATTGTAACACTAACAATATTCAGTGTTTGAGAATGTCTGTAAAAAGAAAGAATGGCGTCAGAAATTGAGTATCCCATCCAAACAGAGCCTAGGAAGAGGCAGTGAAGATAGATATACATAAAATCCTTCCATTTCTACCCCCAAGGAGAAGAAGATCCACATGCTAAGAATTGAGAAAAACATAAGATGATCTATCACCACCCTGTACAACTGAACATGCCTCTCTCCCATTCTCTCTCTCATCACTCAGATCAAGTACTCATAATAGACTAAGAAGAGGGCATCTGGGACATCTTTGGGGAGCCCATTTACGTATCTACGGAACCGACGCATCTCGTCCTTCGACAGTGTTTCCTGGTCTACTACGTCCCCGTCGCACGTCAGGACCCACAGATCTCCCGACTCCACCCTTTTCAGGCTTCCCCGGCAAAAGGGGCATGACTCTGACCTCACATTCCTGTAAAAACAAGTTTACTTGGTCAATAGGGAGGGGGGGCAAAAACGGTAATATCCTTGTTCGACTCCTGGCAACCTAATGAAGGGCAATCATGTCCTGGACAAACCACACACTCTTTTCATCAATCTAATATTCAACACCCCGGTTCAAGTGACATTGAATTTCAATGTCATAGGATGACCTGGGGTATCTACGGTGCTCGTTCAAAAAATTGATGGTTCCTACCGCCCNCCCCCCCCCCCCCCGTAAACCCCCTAACCCCGGCCCGACCCAAACCGACCACCCCACTCTCTTTAATTGCACCCCACAAAATGTAGTTGACTTTGGAGGGGGTGGGGTGGTCGGTTTGGCTCGGGCCGGGGTTGGGGGGTTTACCCAAGGTGTTTGGGGGGTAGGAACCATCAATTTTCCGAACGAAACATCGTAGATGCTCCAATAGAGGCTCGTGTCATATTATGACATGAGACACAAATGTCACCCAATCCTCCCTCAATATTAAAACTCAATTTGTTGAGGAATAGGGAAACCTACCAGTCGCGGTAGCAGTTAATGCACATGGCGTGGCAGCAGTTTGGCAGAACCATTTTGGTGCAAGGTTCTAAGCAAATCCCGCACTCATCTTCCCTCTCCATGTCAGAATTACACTGCATCTTCTTCTTCTTCGTCTCTTGGGAATTCACACTCGCGGCAATCTTCGGACGATAACCTTCGTCTGCGCGCCCAGATGAATTGCCGTGCAGGCGGAGTAGAGATGGTAATATCACGGCTGCAATGACACCACAAGAGATGAGAACTCATAGTAGAAGAGGGTTTTATTAAGACATGTGTACCAACCCAAACACCAATGTCTGCTCATAGGATTGGTGATTGGCTCCACAAACCAACACAAGTCTTTTCTGCGCACTTTGTCTCACTCGTTTGCATCCAAGGAACTTTCCGGGGGTCACCACCCATCCTAGAATTGATCCAAGTCTAGCACGCCTAACTTTGGAATTTCTAAGTGACTCTCGAAAAGAATATGCATCTTGTTGGTATGAGTGATACTATCAATCTTTTTTAGCCTTTTTTTAATTCCATGTTTACACGAGGTACCACAATATCCACTATTTTTAAGAGTATTTTGGGCAGGTTTTATTCCAAACACACCACAATGATAAGTCAAATGTCATAATATATATTCAGATTATCACACAATAGAGGCATACCATAAAATTCTCGAACTGTTGCTTTCCTTGCATGTGATTTCAGCATCTGTTTACCATCAGCAGAAACCTGAAAAAAAGAAAAATGCATATCAAATCAATGAAAAAATCATATCAAGTTATGTTCGTGGCTAGAATTCAATATGTTGTTTGGCAGTAACACTCGCCTCGTATAGAAGGATATTGAAGAGATTTAGATAACTGGGTAGTAAGCATGTACAAGAGAAGTTCATCCATTGGAACAAGACCAAAAATAACGGTGCCAAATCATTGTAGACCAACTTCATTTGCAAATACGTTCCCCCTTTGAATCTTGGAATTGAGGTTGCTCTGGACGAGAAGAATTCAAAGTATGAAAGTGGTCACATATTTAAAGAGTTTCATGATACGGAGTAATAATTAACATTGAGAAAGACCAATGAGTAACAAATATGGTACCAGACAATTATCAGTGAGTACCATGAAAAAAATGGTCTGCCCTCATTATCCATTAACCTAAATATGACACCAAAAAAAAAGAAAATAAAAAATACTTCTAAACCATATGAAAATAGTACTAGTATTTTTTTTTGAACTTTAGGTCATGTGTTCAGTGTTTATGCCTAGATAACATAATTCTTAAAAAAAATTAGGAGGCGCTTAATCCTTGAACTGACGGTTTAAGTACGCTTTCAGCGCTCTAAAACGATTTAGTAAATCTTTGTGCTCAGACTATGATTTTGTAATTCACGCACTAGCGATTTAGGTGTGCATATGCCGCTATTTATACAAAGAAAAAAAGTGAAATATTTATTTTAAGTCGAATAAAAAAACAAGGAATTTTACTTGGTGACAAAAGAATATATTTTACTCATATTTTAATAATTATGTTTTCAACCGCACTATAATATAATCTCAACCTTAAAAAATATTAATTTAAAAAAAATGCTAACTGCTACTGGATAACCTGCAATCTGTTAATGATCAAACACGCCCAAAATTACTTGAAATCCGCACGAAAAAAGAAAAGGATGAAGACAAAGAAGACCAAGTTCATCACTTTACAAACCATTAACCCGAATTAGGGCACACAAATTCAAACCCATAACCCCAGAACAAGCGAATCAAGGAGGGGAGGAGACGAACTTACAGCAAATTGGCATAATCAACGTCGGCTTGCAGAGTCTTGATCGAATCCTGGCACGAAACAGACTTCGCGAGCCGGTAGTAATCCGGAACGATCATCATCGTCGTCGCGTTCGTCTCCATCCACAGCTCGGAAACCCCAAATTCATGGAAACCCTAACTGAAATCGGGAGGAGAGGGAACTGTCGAAGAGCAGTAGTCTGCGCATGCCGGAGGTATAAATGAAGGGGGGAGAAGACGGAAGGAGAATCGGTCATGGCTGCTCTGTGTTGGGTGGTTGGTCGGTCGCTGTCGTCAGCCTTTGAATCCGTGCGAGCTCCGATTAGGGATTTTGACTGCAAGGTTTTTTGTTGAGCGACCCCCAACCAGAAGGGAAGAGAGAAAGTCGTGATACAAGACTTCAACGAGGACAAACGCCATAAATGATGGTTTTGTTTGGCCAAGTTCGGCTGGGTTGGCAAACCTTATTCGAGTTCAATTAATTTCAACCCAATTGACACATAATTATCAAGTATAGAGTTTCTACAATATCAAATTTAAGTTCAAATTTTTGTTACTAATCTACCGTCAAAACTCAATTTACCACCTCTTATGATTATCTTGTCGGATCTGAGGAATTTTCGAAGACGAGGCTCATCCAATTTTTTCTTTTTTGGACAAGGAGCAACTTTTTTTGAAAGAAATAACCATTTAGAGTTTGTTGACTTTCTTAGTTCAACCATACTAAGAGTACTCTACAAAATATACCCTAAATTATACCCGAAGAGATGCACCTGCATTTCTTCAACTCAAATAGTTACCCTGAAAACAAAATTAAATGAAAATCAAATTCTTTTTGTGCAAGGAAATGAAAATCTAATCTTAAATGAGTAAGAGAGAATGAAATTTAAGTTTGTCATGGAATTTAATAATGATCTTTATATAAAGTACTCCGTATAAATTATGATTTTTCTATCGTCACGAGTTTTCACAATTTGTGCGAATTTTTTTTGAACTATAAAAATTATGTTATATACCTCTAAGCTCTTCAAAATTTACGTTTATCACACATTCATCAATATAACTGGTGAAACTTGATGAAAATATCGTGAATTGATGAAAAACAGGCCAAATAGCGCCAGTACCCCCCGTAGTTTGCAAAATAGGCACCAAAACCCCCTCTGTTTTCAAAACTTATTTCTAAAGTCCTTGTGGTTTCAAAATGCTGCACCCGTGCCCCCTCTGATCATTTTCCGGCCATTTTTCCGGCGAAGAAGGGGGGCATTGCTGCATATTTACTAAACCACAGGAGGTATCGGTGCTGATATTTATTTCTTGCTTATTTTTTTGTTTTTTTTCATTTTTTTCCTTTATTTGTTACTTTTATTAATAAAGGTTTTTTAAAATTATTTTTAAATGCTCATAAAATTTAAAGTTATTTTTGTTTGAAAAAATTAACATATAACGTGTATGTACTTCTCAAATCAATAATTTTTATTTTTTCTGAAAAAAGTAAACTTTTTTTTGGAGAATTTCAAAAAAATGACGAATAAAATAAGAAACAAAATAATAGAAAAATAAAAATGAATATCTTTTTTGAACATATCAATTCTAAGGACTTTTTTAGGCTTGACCATTTTTTGTATCAGACTTTTTTTGTGTACTTTTTTTTTCATTTTATTTTTCCATATTTTTATTTTTTTATTCTAGGTTTTTCTTTTTGAACTTTCCAAATAAGTACCTAACAAAAAGTGAAAATGTTTAATTTCAAATAGATGCAATGTATGTTAATTTTTTTATTTTTATTTTTATTTCAAAAACAAAAAATTTTAAAATTTTAAAACATTATAAAAAAATTGAAAATAAATTAGAAAAAAACTAGGAAAAGCAAAAAGAGATAGAAAATATTTAAAAAAAGAAAAATACAAATAACAAACAAAAAATAAAAAATGAGCACGCGTTTAAAAATTATGCGCAAATGCCCCATCTTCGCCAGAAAATGGCCGGAAAATGATCAGAGGGGGCACGGGTGCAGCATTTTGAAACCACGGGAAATTTAGAAATAAGTTTTGAAAATAGAGGGGGTATTGGTGCCAATTTTCCAAACCACAGGGGGCACCGGAGCTATTTGGCCATGAAAAACATAACTGATTGATGAAGACATTGATCGACTGATGCCAAATTTCGAGTTTGGTTATCAACGACTAAATCGAAAATATTTATCTAAGTTTTCAATAGGTTAAAAAATATACAGAGTAGAAGATAATGTTTAAGTAGGTCATATTGCAGAATGCATATGTGATATATCACTTTAAATGAATTCATACATACACTACACAAGTGTATGATTAACACATTCCCAAATCTAGCGCAGAAGGCCGCTGATGCAACATTTTTAAATACTCAAAAAACCATTAGTGTAAATTCTAAGGCTCGGGGGAAAATCATGCATTTTCAGAGAGTTCGAAGGTAAATAACAAAAAAACATTATAAAATATCTCACATTACATTAGCTAAGAGTTGAATTCAGTCACAATATTTTTTTACACCTCATATTGACCACTTAATTGTCCCTTAGAATGGTGAGTGAAATATTTGATGAGCGTGAATGATACTCTGTAATTCATAAATAAAGGGACTGTTTGGGAATAACCTTTTCGATTAGCGTGTACATTTTGAAAAAAAATTAAGGTGAAGATTACCTTTGAAAATGCTAACACTAAATACTGTCCGTAGATAACTTTTTTCAAGATGCTTATGCTTTCTCTAACGCTTCCCAAAAGAATTTCTCCCTTCGTCCCAGTTTTAATTGCAGATTGGGATTTACAAGGTTAACCTCATATCTTTTAAAATCATTTTATTCACAAATTGTTAAATAAATAAAAAATAAAAATTACATATTCAAAAACTACATCAAAAGTTCTACAAATTAAGAGGTGACAAAAATATTTTATTTCATTAAATAATTCATAAAAACATACCAATAAATTAAAATTATTGAGAAGAGAAAGAAAAGAAGGTTTCTAATCAAATTTGGGACACTTATCTCCAAATTTTTGTTTCAAATGGTTAACCCATAATACAGTACTCGTACTGCTTTGAAAAGCTTGAACCAACAGCCATGGCGATGGACGTGAGACCATTTCCTTCCCGTTTTCGTCTCCTTAATCCGGACACGAACGTGTCCTTTTTTTCGTCTGAGAGAGCGAGAGAGAGAATCGAAGGTGGGCGGTGAATCGAAAAAATCGAAGAAATTCAAGCTGAATCTCACCACACAATCCAGAATCCAAGCCCGTTAACCGGCAATCCACTTGTCTCTATCTCTTTCTCCCCTCCCCCCTTCGTCTTTCTTTCTCCTCTTGCCTCTCCTCCCCAACAACCCTTCCGAGAGGCTAATCTCAGAAGGACAAAAAAATATTATTTAAAAAAAAAAATAAACAATTAAAAATAAAAGTAAAAGCTTCACAATAACGCAGGGTTGTTGATATTGTACTATTCGAAGAAGGATTGATAGATTTTTCGGTTTCTGTTTTTTTTTTCTTTCTCATGTGAATAGATCATTCGTTGATTCGTTGTTTGACGTATGAGAACAGGGGGTTTGTGTGTATTTGATGTGTGTTTGATTTTTATTTGATTGATTGGAAGAGGAAGAGGAGGAGGAGGAGGAGGAGGAGATTGAGAATGGCCTTGATTGATTTGAGGTTATTGCTTGTGGTTGTGCTAGTGGTGGTGGTGGCGGTGGTGGTGGAGGGGAATGTGGTGTTTAAGGTGAAGCATAAGTATGGTGGGCGTGCGAGCTCCGCCTTGGCGGAGCTCAAGGCCCACGATTCCCATCGCCATGGACGTATGCTGTCTTCTGTTGACTTCCAATTGGGCGGCAATGGCCAGCCCACCGATGCTGCGTTAGTCCTCTATCTCTTTGTTTTTGCCTATGCAGTACATTTCTTTTTTTCAGCAAATCTGCAAAATTCTTGTGTTAGTTGCATACGCGTTTTGCACTTTGGGTTGCGCGATCATCATTCCTCTGATTAGGTTATTATTTTTTGGGGAAAAATGGTATTCATACATAGAAGTGTGCATCAAAGTTTACAGACAAGTATCGCGAGAAAGTAATTTGATTTAATGAAAACAAAAAAACATGCCAATTGTAGATGTTATGTGCATTTTAATGTGTTCTTTTATGTATGATGATCATTACTCTATGCGATGGTATGACTAGATTAGTTGAAAAGTGTGACTAATGATCTTGGTGAGAAAATTGGATGGGAACAAATGGTGGGTGAGCCCAGGGAGAGAAGAGGGAGGGAAACAATTGGGAATGGATGAGAAAGACACAAAGACAAGTGTTTCTGCTTGTTGTGTCATTCTTCTGCATGTCTTTTTGGGGGGGTACATGACTAATGGTTAAAAATTGCAGGTTGTACTACACCAAACTTTCTATTGGAACGCCTTCAATCGACTATCATGTCCAGGTTGATACTGGAAGTGACATTCTGTGGGTGAACTGTGCTGGCTGCGACAAGTGCCCTAAAAAGAGCAACCTTGGGGTGCATCCCTTATTTTTCATTGAATCCCACCCCCGTGCCCCCCTCAAAAAAGTTTTTTGTTTCTGTTACAGAATGTGTTGATATCTTGTTTCCTGTCCAACAGATAGACTTGAAGCTTTATGATGTAAAGGCCTCTTCAACAGCACAAGCTGTTACTTGCGACCAACATCTTTGCGCCACTATGTTCAATGCGCCATATACCGATTGCAAGGTTGGAATGGCTTGCGAGTTTCAAGTTACTTATGGAGATGGCAGTGCCACTGCAGGATACTTTATTCAAGACGAGGTTCATTTTGAACAAGTGACCGGAAACCTTCAAACCTCATCCATGAAAGGGCCAATAGGATTTGGGTACGTCCACATATCTAATTAGGGCATTTTTTTTAAATGTTAATACATTGAGGTCAATGATGACCGAAACTGAGACTTTTGGTGTAGCGTCACAGGCTGGTAATACTTCTGACTACATGATCCTTCGCTCAGTTCTTAAGATTTTGGAATCTCACATGTATCCTGTGATCCTCTTTTTTGGACAGTAAAAACTATGCAGGGATTGGTTCATTGATATTTAATACCACCAAATTGCACTCCCAACTCACATTTCAGTGTGGCTTTAAAAGTCCTATGTTGGCAAAAAGAACCTGCCTTTTAAAGTCACTACATTTCATGGCTCTTTTTTCGTGCTTAGAATCCTTTATAGTCCCGTTGGTGTCAATAGAGAGTTTAATCCCAATAAAGCTTACATCTTTTCTCAGGTGCTCAGCCAAACAATCTGGAGAATTAGGTACATCTACCGCAGCAGTTGACGGGATAATTGGTTTCGGACAAGCGAACTCATCTGTCATTTCACAGCTAGCAGCATCTGGGAAGGTGAAAAAGATATTTTCACACTGCTTGGATAATAAGAATGGGGGTGGCATCTTTGCTATCGGACAAATAGTTGAACCCAAAGTAAATTCAACACCACTTGTTGAAAATGAGTACGTAACACTTTAGGTTATCTTTTTTCCTCTTTTGAATGTTGGGATTGGTATAGCGAGCAATTATTTCAGTTTAAGCATTATGCACTCAACATTTTTCAGCGTGGAATCTGAAAGCTTAGCAGTTCCATTTTTTTTCTTTTAAAGAACAAATGAATGAATAAAACTGGGAAACGAGAGAAAAGTAAGGAACAGTTGAGACATGTCATTGCTGCCTTGAAGTCATAATTGTGTGTGGTAACTTTGTCCTCTGGTTGTATGTGAGGGTTCTCTAAGAGTACAGAATTTGTGGAAACATAGGACGCACTACACGATCGTCCAAATAATTTATGAAATTACTTTTTGAATTTATAAGGCTTAGAATCAGTATCATTCATCAAAATTTTGTTCAACCGTAATAAACTACATGTGACAGATGTCTAAGCTAAAATAAAAAATGGATCACATACATAACATGCCGTCATAAATCTTGATCTTGTTTCCTGAATGCCTAACGTAAATTTGTGCACTTTGAGAATGGATTTACTATTCTGGTTGATGGAATGATGCTTTGTTGGAAGTATTGAATTTCTAGTTCTATGCTTCTCAC